CCAGGCAGACCCTTCCCGCCTCTGCTCGCTTCCCATTAAAATTAACAAGCGTTGCAGGCAAGCATCAAAGGCATTCCAGGCAGGCCTGGGCTCTGCTCACAGCCCCTCCCGAGCCTTCCTCTCTCTCTTCCAACTGCATCAGGGACAACGGTTCAGTGAGGAAGGCCAGGATTGGGATTTTGGCCGTTCTCTTCTGTTTGATATTTGCATCAAGGAAAATTCCAGAGCCAGCAGAACATCTTCACAGCCGTTTTCTTCAAAGCGCCCAGCAAGAGCGGGGCAATTATTCTTAAGAGGCACCTTTAGGAGAGTATGTTATTAGCCTCATTTTATTGGCAGGGAAACCAAGGTCAGATGGCTTGGCCAGAGAGAGAGAGAGAGAGAGAGAGAGAGAGAGAGAGTCAAAGCAGTGGCAGACTAAATCTGGGTCCATCCAAGGCTCATGCAGACCTGAAGCTGGCCCAGGAATTGAGCACATTCAGGCCCCATGCCCAGCCTGGGGGTGGGGGTGGAGGGTTGTGGCCACCCCTCCTGGTTCTCACACTGCGCTTCCCAGACCCGAACTGCTAACAGGTCTTAGGTCAATTAACCCCATCCCCACCCCCGGGCCAGATGCCGCTTACAGCGCAGAAGATGACAGCAGAGGACGTACCCCCTTCTAAAAAACCCTCAAACTGCATCTCCTCCCACCCCCACTAACGTGGATGGGGGATGATCCAATTATTTGCAAAGAGCTATGGGTTTATGCTGGAGAAATCAACAGATTAAAATACTCCTGCACTGTGGCTTGGAGTTATGCGTGAAACCCCTCACAGGTGGGGAAGGCCTATTGGTCCCTGTGCCTGAGGGACCTGTTTCCACAGGCGTCCTCAGACCCCCAGGATTTGCGATCTGGAGGGAACGTGAGGGGTCTGGCTAGCCCACTGTTGGGAGACCAGGGGGGGTGGGATGTATAGGGCCCCAGGCTGCTGAACTCATCCTCCCATCTTTGGAGGAAAGGCAAAGCCCAAAAGCAACCTAAGACGATGAACAATTAGCGAAGTTCCTCAGAAACGTGGCTTTGATCCCAATGCTTAGATACCAGCTGCACTTTGGGGACGTGGCTGAGGGTGTTGCCATAGAAATCTTAGAGCTAGACACTTCCTAACCAGTTAAAAAGCCACTCTCTTGCCCGGCTGCTGTGGCTCAGTGGTTGAGAGCGACCAGGAGGTCACGGTTTGATTCCCGGTCAGGGCACATGCCCGGGTTGCAGGCTCCATCCCCAGTGTGGAGCATGCAGGAGACAGCCGATCCATGATTCTCTCTCATCATGGATGTTTCTCTTTCTCTCCCTCTCAAAAAACAATAAAAAATACATTAAAAAAAAAAAAAAAGAAAAACAGAAGGAGAAGGGACAGAGTGAGAGAAGAGACAGAGACATGTACGCCAGGCCCCTAGTTTGTTTCATGATCAGAGCACGCGGTTCTGCGATTCTCGCCAGCAGTTTCTCCTCTGCGCGTCTCAGCATCCCAGGGACACCGTAAACCTTCTTCTTCTCGCTCCCTGGGTGACACATGCACAGCCTCCTGTGGGGCCCTCAGCCGTTGCTTGAATGGGCACACTCTGCAGTCACCTCGGAGAGTGCCAAGGCCCTGGGAAGGGCTCCTCTCAACCCTCCCCTCACCCAGCGGCTGCCCTGGCAGAGGGGCCACAGGCAAGGCCTTTGGTTGAGACCGAGAGAAGGTGCGGACCACACGATGGCCCCAATAGCTCTGGCGGTCTAGAGTGCCGTCGGTTCCTGCCTATGAACCCGTTGCAGCCAGAGGGAGGGCTTCTAAGCAAAGGCAATCAAGTGCAGGGGCCCAGGACCAGCTTTGCCCACTTGCCCGTGCCCCTGGGCTCAGGCTGAGGATGCGGCTCGGCTGCCCCTGCACCGTTCCCACTGCGGAGGCTCCTGCAAACACCCCTGTGAAGCCCGGGGCTCTGAGCATGCACCCCACATGCCCTGGGAAGCCAGGGTTCCCTGCACTGGGAGGGAGGGAGGGAAGGAAGGAGGGCTGAGACTAGGGTGAGGCAAGTGGGCACCTAGGGCTCAAAAGGTAGACAGGCCGCTCCCTGCAGAAGCCACCTGCTTCCTCCTCTGACAGCTCTGGGCATGCTCATCGCCGCTGCTGGGGCTCCAGCTCCTGAGGCCCCCCGCCCTGGGTCTGGTTCACGTGTCCCACCCAGAGGGCTGGCCTGAAGCCCAGCACATAGGCAGCCCTGAGTGTGTTGCTGAATGGTTGATTAAAGGAGAGAGAGACAGAGAGTAAGAGAGAGGAGGAGAGGGGTGGGGGGGGGGGGGGAAAGAAGGAAAAAGGTGAACGTGAGCCTCCTTCCCCCTCTCCAAAGCCCTAACCTGGGCTGCCAGCCAACCTGGGCCAGACGCTGGGTGTGTTGGGGTTGGGGGGGGTGGGGAGGAGGGCAGGGAGCGTGGGTAATCGCCAGCTGCGGCCTTCCTCATCCTTCCTCAGGGGCCGTGTGCAAAGCTGTAGAGCAGAGGATTCCACTCGCGCCCTGGGTGCTGAGTGACAGCGGTGAGGCTGCCTTTTAATTAACCGGCAGCCGCAGACCCCGGGGAGCCTGTGAGGCCGCCGGGCACAGGGGCCCGGACTCCGCATTTAGCCTTGGCCTGGTTTCCCAGCCCAACCCCAGGAGGCTGTGGGGTTCTGCCAGGGCTCCTGAGTGGAACTGGACACCAGGAACGTAGAATGGTGTGTGTGTGTGTGTGTGTGTGTGTGTGTGTGTGTGTGTTTTGGTTGGGGGGGGGGGTGTGCTTTCTTAGAGCTATTCTGAGAAAGAGCAACCCAACCTCCCTGTCATCTCTCTCTCTCTCTCTCCCTCTCTCTTTCTCTCTTTCCCTCCCTCCCTACCTACCTCCCTCCCTCCCTCTCATTCTCATGTGTACACCTCAGACACCTGCATTGTTACTTTAGCTGATGGGACAAATCTCTAGAAAATATATATAAAGGGAATGTGAAAAGCTTTCCAGCTTATCAAAACCCACAGCACCTCCTCCTGATGGTAAGGCCTTTGAAGCTCAGCTGTCAGAACTCGCACCCCAAAAAGGAAGCACCTCCTCAGCCGGCACGGGAGGAGGGAATAGTGCATTGGAAAGGGGGCGGGGGGGGGGGGGCTGCCCCTGCTCTTCTCAACCAGCCTCGCACCCCAAAGCCCAACCCACCAGGGTCTGGGGTCTGTGCCCTCCGTGCTTTCCCAGGCCGGGCCACAGACAGATTTGAGACAAAGAAGATTTTTGTCTTTTGTGTTCTTGATGGCTTCTTACTTCTCCTCTGAGCTTCCTGCCCTAGTCTCTCCTGTCCTGCTCACAATCGCCTCCTTCTAAAGATGGGCCCGGCTGGTGTGGCTTAGGGATAGAACATCGACCCAGAAACCAACAAGTCGTGGGTTCCATTCCCCATCAGGGTGCATGCCCGGGTTGCAGGCTCCATCCCCAGTGTGGGGCGTGCAGGAGGCAGCCAACCAATGGTTTTCTCTCATCATCGATGTTTCTATCTCTCTCCCTCTCATGTCCTTTCTGAAATCATTAAAAATATATTTTTAAAACATAAAGATAACAAACTGAGGTTTGAAGAGGTGGCAAAGCGTTGGGGCAGAGTTCCAGGCATATCTGGCTCCATAGCAAGCTGCCTATCAGCCTATCACTCCACTATCAACACAAACTCGTAATAAAAGCTATTCCTCGAGCAATTTGGGTATTAACTGCCTGATCATTTTCAGTTTCTCCTAAACCTCACCTCAACTCCAGGAGTGGACCCAGTTATCTTCATTATGTGATTGAGGTTCCCAGCGATAAAGAAACTTGTCTGGCCCTAGCTGGTTTGGCTCAGTGGATAGAGTGTCAGCCTATGGACTGCTGGGTCCCAGGTTCTATTCCAGTCAAGGGCATGTGCCTTGGTTGCATGCACACCCCCAGTGGGAAGTGTGCAGGAGGCAGCTGATCGATGTTTGTCTCTCATCCATGTTTCTAACTCTCTCCCCCTTTCCCTTCCTTTCTGTGAAAAATCAATAAAATGTATTTTTTTTTAAAAAGAAAAAGAATTAGGTTGAGCTTAAAAGCAGGGACCCCAGAGATGAAAACTCTTCCCAATATGCACTGCTGCTGAATGCAACCTGCTCCAGACCCCGAGGGCTGTCCTAGGAGCCTGAAACATACAGCTGGGTGGGTGGCTGCCAGGTTGTAATAGGCACAGGTAATAATAATAATAATAATAAATAATGATAATAATATTTATGTGCCAGGTTCTGAACTGAGCACTTAATAGGCATTCTCTCACTTAAGCCACACAACGGGGCCAGTGCGGTAGGGTTCTCTCTCCTTTTCATTAGCTTGACTGCAGATGAGTAAACTGAGGTCAGGCAGGGTGCAGGCTCCAGCTGGCACAAGCCCCTGACTTCTGGCCTTCTCACCCATGGGGCCTGGGGGTTATGTCCGGAAGAAGGCCTGAGAGGGGCTGTCTGGAGCCCAGAACTAGGGTCCAGCCCCTCCTGCCCACCCAGGGGAGACAGAAGACGACCCTGAGCCAGGGAGGGAGCAGCCCCTGTGAAGGAAGAAGCAGAAAGGAGCAGCCCCTGTGAAGGAGGAAGCAGAAAGGGCAGACGATAGGATGCACAGGAGACGGGGACCCTGGATAGAGGAGGCTGCCAACCTGAGCCCCGCACGTGCCATTGAGCCTGAGCCTGGATCCCTGACATCTGGGCAGGTGGGTGTGTGGGCAGGGGGGCAGTCACCTCTATCCCTGGTGATAAAAAGCCACCGGATGACGGATGACGGCACTGCTCTCCCCAACCCTTCGCCTGTGGTGTCTGGCTCTGCCGTGTGCAAGGCGTCTGGCCCCAGGGAGAGGCGGGGTGAGCCTCCACCAGCAGCTCCTCAGCTATAAATAGGCAGCCTCCAGGGCTGCTCACTCACCTCCTTTCTCTGCCACAGTCATCACCGGAGCCTCTCTGACACCTGGACCATGGACCCCCGGGAGTGCTCCTGCTTGTCTGGTGAGTAAGGATGCCCATCCTTGCCCGGCTGGTGTGGCTCAGTGGCTGAGCGTCGACCTATGAACCAGGTGATTCCCGATCAGGGCACATGCCCAGGGTTGCAGGCTTGATCCCCAGTGTGGGGCGTACAGAAGGCAGCCGATCCATGATTCTCTCTCATCGTCGATGTTTCTCTCTGTCCTCCCTTCCTCTCGGAAATCAATGCAAATATATACATATTTCTTAAAAGGATGCCCATCCTTGGGCTTTGGGACTGTGCCCTTGCTTCCTCCAGGGAGCCTGCCGAGCCTGCGGGTGTCTAATCCTGCAGTTAGGAGCGGCCAGTGGTGTGTGTTTCAGACTGGGGACCTCTGGGGCAGCTCCCTGTCCTGTTGGCTACCAGCCTCATTGCTGGAGTTGATAGCCTGGCTCTGGAATGATTGTGGGGGGTGGAGGGTGGGGTACCTAGCAGCAGGTCTCTAAAGGCAGCCACCAGTACAGGGGAAGCCCTCCAGCCCAGGTGCTGGAGACCTGGTTTGGGTCTGCTGCTGCCATCACTCTGACACTTTGTATTTCCAGGCCTCAGTTTCCTCAACGGTTCCTGTGGGAACTTGGGCTTGGTGGAGATGGCCTAGCCCAGTGGTCGGCAAACTCATCAGTCAACAGAGCCAAATATCAACAGCACAACGATTGACATTTCTTTTGAGAGCCAAATGTTTTAAGCTTAAACTTCTTCTAACGCCACTTCTTCAACATAGACTCGCCCAGGCCGTGGTATTTTGTGGAAGAGCCACACTCAAGGGGCCAAAGAGCCGCATGTGGCTCACGAGTTGCGGTTTGCCGACCACGGGCCTAGCCCAGTAGTTCTCAAACCTGATTCTACAGTAGAATCATCTGGGTTGCTTTTTAACATACTGACTCCCTCCTGGTCCGAGTGGCTCAGTGATTGACGGTCGACCTATGAACCAGGAGGTCATGGTTCAATTCCTGGTCGGGGCACAGGCCCTAATACAGGCTCAATCCCCAGTAGAGGGCATGCAGGAGCCAGTCAATCATGATTCTCTCTTATCATTGGAGGTTTCTCTCTGTCTCTCCCTCGTCCTTCCTCTCTGAAATCAATACTGTACAAATATATTTTAAAAAATAAAAATACTGCCCTACCCTGTTTGGCTTAGTAGATAGACAGTCAGCCTGTGGACTGAAGGATCCCAGGTTCGATTCTGGACATGGGCACAGACCTGGGTTGTGTGTTCAGTCCCCAGTAGGGAGGCAACTGATCAATGATTCTCTCTCATCATTAATGTTTCTCTCTCGCTCTCTCCCTCTCTGAAATCAATAAAAATATTATATATGTATACACACACATGCTGACTCCCTTTCCCCACCCAGATCTCTGAACCAGAACACCTCAAAGGTGTGTCCTAGGAATCTATATGTTAACGAGGACCCTGGAGGCCACCCGGGTTTCTGTGCGTGGACAGGGCCTGGGGACCACTGGCTGGTCTTCCTCTCTGTCCAGTCCCACTCACCGACGGCCCAGAGACCCTGCCTCTGTGGTGCTCTGCAGCACACCCCGTGCGCCCATCTGCCTCAGTCCTCACACTTCTGCTCTGTCCTCTATCCTAGGAGGAATATGCATCTGCGGAGACAACTGCAAATGTACCACCTGCAACTGTAAAACATGTCGCAAAAGTGAGTCCGGTGACTGGGGCGCCGAGGGCCAGGCGCTGGGAAAATCTGTTCCCTCCATCTGCAACCTCCCAGCCATGGTGGGGGGGAGAGGGATCAGGGTGCCTTTTACCCATCAGGGAGGCCTGAGGGAGAATCCAGCTTGCCCAGCGGTAAAGGGGACCGAGCACTGGCCTGGAGTCAGCAGCTCTGGGGTTTGGTCCTGGATCAGCCACTGTCCAGTAACCTCGGGCAAACCCTGGCCCCTACTGGGCCTCTGACGGGCCATGCATGGCCTCTGAGATTCCTTCTGGCCAACATCCCACAAACTTCCGGTCCCGGGGTTTTGTGACTGTGGATGGAAGCCCATGGCTGGCTCTTCTTTTCCTCCTTCCTCTGAGCGGTGGGAGGGAAGGGGGTAAGAGAGACTGTGGCCCCCAAGCTGATCTGTCCATCTCCCAACCCTTCCAGGCTGCTGCTCCTGCTGCCCCCCGGGCTGTGCCAAGTGTGCCCAGGGCTGTGTCTGCAAAGGCGGCTCCAGCAAGTGCAGCTGCTGCCCCTGAAGGGCCCCCGGGTGCTGGGTGCAGCCGGGGAAGCGTCTGTACAGTCACAGGTGGAGGAGTTGAGATGAGCGTGCTTTTTATACATCTGCCCCGAGGAGGTGTTGGTGACATGTGTGTAAAGTGTTGGAGTAATAAAGTTTTCACTCACAGTTGTCTGGTGATCAGAACCCTGTTTGAGCCTCACTCGGAAGGACCCAGAAGGGCCGACTCCATTGCAGATGTGGGGGGCACCTGCCTGCATGCCTTCTGCCCAGGTTGCTAAGCACAAGCTCTTGCAGTTCTGCCTGGGGCTTTCTCCTGGTGCCTGGCCTTTAAAATGTGTGTGTGTGTGTGTGTGTGTGTGTGTGTGTGTTGGTTGATTTTGAGAAAAAGAGGAAGGGAGAGAGATAGAGAGGTAGAAACATCAAGGAGAGAGAAATATGACCAGCCCAGCAGCACATGGCTCAGTGTTTGAGCATCAACCTATGAACCAGAAGGTCAAGGTTCGATTTCGGATCCGGGCACAGGCCCAGGTTGTAGGCTTGATCCCCAGTGTGGGGCGTGCAAGAGACAGTGATCCATGGTTCTCTCTCACCATTGATGTCTCTCTCTCTCATTCTCTCTTATTCTTTCTCTCTCCCATTATTTCTGAAATCAATAAAAAATATTTTTTAAAACATGAAAAAACAACAACAACACAAAACATCATCAATCGGCTGCCTCTTGCACGCTCCACACTGGGGACTGAGCCCACAACTCGGGCATGTGCCCTGACCCAGAACCAAACCTTGACCTTTTGGTTCCTGGGTCAACGCTCAACCCTTGAGCCACACTGACTGGGTTCCCTGGGCTTTCTTGCTGCAAGCACAGAGTAGGCTGGGAGGACTGGGGAGTCAAGACCACTGGGAACAGCCCTTACCCAATGACAAATAGTAGTCAGGAGGTAAAATAGATGCCCCATTTCTTCCCCCTTCCAGTAGGACAGATCTGAGACCTGGTCCACCCTGTCCCCCAGAAGTCCTGGTTCCTGCAGCTCCTTCATCCTCTGCTCTCCCAGTCCGACTCCCCAACATATATATAACTGAGGCTCAGAGAAGACCCCAGTTCAGGCAGGACTAGCTGAGAGGGAAGCTTGAAGACCATGTGGGAAGATGGAGGAATGGGGGTTGGAGGGAGCTGAAGTGGAAAGTAAACAGACAGGTTCCAAGGGACCTTGTGGAGTAAAACGTAAGCCGGGGAGACAAAGGAGATGGATTTCAGGGCAAGAAGGAGAGCTTTCTCACGGCACAGCTCCCTGGAGCGGGCCAGTGCTGTATCAGGGGGTGGACACATCACGGGTCGTGTTCCTGAGCTGCCTGAGACAATGGGGACCTCGGGTAGGCTGGGACAGACTCTGCACCTGCTCAGGATTTAGTCCAACTTGGATGGAGACCAGAGGAGGGCTTGGTGGGAACAGAATGGAGAAGGCCTGGTCATAAGACAAGAAAGCAGTTCCGCATGTGGACTGCAGGAGGCGCTCGAGGCACACAGGCAGCTGAGGCAGGAGTACGCTGGGCCCTTGAGAATTGTGCATGGGTTGAGAGAGGGTGTTCAGGCTTCACGCTGGCTGGCTTGGGGACCCAGACACCCCAGAAAGGGCTTAGACCCCTCAGGTACAAATGCTCGGAGGATAAATCAAACCCAGCTCTCCAAGAGACGATTGAGCCTCAGTTGTAAAGGCCTTAACAGAGTGTAAATCACGCAGATTCACAGGGCATGCAACTTTTAAAATAATTTGGTACCTGGTTGGCATGGCTCAGTGGTTGAGGGTAGACCTATGGACCAGGAGGTCACGGTTCAATTCCCTGTCAGGGCACATGCCCAGGTTTCAGGCTCAATCCTCAGTGTGGAATGTGCAGGAGGCAGCCAATTCTCTCTCATCATTGATGTTTCTATCCCCCTCTTCCTTCCTCTCTGAAATCAGTAAAAATATATTTTTTTAACATTGTATAAGTGAAATTAATTTCTGGGACACAAATGTAAAATCTATTGATAAATATGGGAAAGTCATTTATAAATCAGTGTATACTGTAGGCTTCTAATTTTATATTTGAAAGGATTATATATGCATATATTTAATTCTCCAAAAATTTATACAATAAAGAAAGAATAAAGGGGAGGAGGGTATTTCAGACACCTCTCAAGATCCTGGCCACCCTAAGGGTGTAGAGGGTGTATTAGGGTTCTCCAATGAAACAGAACCAGTATATATATATATGACTTATATACATATATATCTATGTACATATATTTTGTGTGTGTGTGTGTGTGTGTGTGTATATATATATATTATATATATATATATATAGTGGGGCAAAAGTGGGTTTACAGTTGTTCATATGGAAAACAATACAATCATTAATAAGTAATAATACAAGCCGAAACCAGTTTGGTTCAGTGGTAGAGCGTAGGTCTGAGGACTGAAGGGTCCCGGATTCGATTCCGGTCAAGGGCATGTACCTTGGTTGCGGGCACATCCCCGGTGGGGGGTGTGCAGGAGCGACTGGTCAATGTTTCTCTCTCATTGATGTTTCAGGCTCTCTCTCTCTTCCTCCCTGTAAAAAATCAATAAAATATTTTTTTAAAAATAAGTAATAATACAAGAATAAACTGTTTTTGCACAGTCACAACTGCACAGCTACTTTTGCCCCGCCCCGCACATACATTTAGCACCTGTTATGCACTTAGGATGGGGTTTGGCTCTCATGTCGTGCAGGAACGACGCCAATGCTGGTCTCTTCTGGAGACACCCTCCCCTTTCCCAGCCCAGGCGGGTCCGCCTATACATTACCCATCACCGTGGGGCGCGGACGGGGGGATGGCTCCCCCGGCTCAGAAGCCTCCATCACCGGGGTGGGGAGTGGCCTCCTGTGCACACAGGCAGCGGGGAGGTGGCTGCCCGCAGACGGGGACGGGGAGCCCGGCGGGGAGGGGCCGCGGCCGCAGCGCGCGCTCCCGGGAGCGCAGATGGAGAGGGGGCGCCGGCGCGCGCCGCGGGCTGAGCCTGCGCGCCCCCGCCCGGGGCTATAAAAGCCTGGGCACCTGCGGCCACGGAGCTTCCGGTCGTCGGGAGAAGCCACTGTACCCTCTCCAGCGCCAGCTCCGCTCGCCATGGACCCCGAGGCCTGCTCCTGTCCTACCGGTGAGCCCTCTCCCCCAGGGCCCCCTCGATCGCAAAGAATCCCATGTCCTGTGGCTTGCGTCAAGGACATTGGGGGGAAGGGGCCCTTATTTCCCGTTTGGAACCTCGTGAAGGGCAGGCATATCCCAAAGGGCGCTGAGATGGGGGGGGGGGAGCACCCCACCTCCTCCCTGTAGGCCTGGCCCCACCCGCCCGAGGGGTAAACGCTGGAACCATGCCTGCGGTCTAGGTGGGTCCTGCACCTGCGCTGGTGACTCCTGCAAGTGCGAGGGATGCAAATGCACCTCCTGCAAGAAAAGTGAGTGTGGGATCCCCCCTCCCCTCTGCCCCTGCCTGCCCTGCTCCCCCAGTCTGCCCAGGCAACGCGGAGAGACCCGAGGCCCCCTGCGACATCGCTTCTGACTCTTCCTGGGACCGAGGTCCTGGGGGGAGGCCTGAGGATGCCATCGCCCTGGCCCCACCCCTTCCCTCCCCTGTTTCTCTCCCCACCCTCCCCGCAGTGACTCACGCAGAAGGCCTGGGGCAAGCCATTTTGGAAATTCTCAGCAGATTCCAGTAGGCAGCTGGAACTGAGGACTGTTATCCTGGTCCACCCCCTGTCCCCCATCCACGCCCCCCTTAAATCCTCCAGTGCCTGGGGGAGCCATTGGTGAGTTTGGGGGCTGGCTCTGGAGCTCCCATCCCTCGGCCCCTCAGGCCTTTGTGGATTCCCCTCAATCTTACCTCCCCGGGCCTCCCAGACACAGCAGCGTGTAATGAGCGTGGGAAGGAGGCGGGGGGAGGGGGCCTCTCTTTTCCAGGGTGTGTAAGACTATCCTGGACCCCCCACCCCCACACACACACCGGTGCCATCTCTGCTCCTCCAAGTGGATCCTCCCAGGCTCATTTCAAGGCCATGTACCCTGTGAGGCTGTGAGGCCCAGCTCTCTCCCCCACCCCACCCCCGCCACCCAGCCTGGGCCTCCCCTGCCATCCCGGACTCCCCTGTGTCACCAGAAAGGGGACTGGGCCTCGGGCCAGTGGGTAGTGAGTGGGTTTCTTCCTTCGTGCACTTTTGTTAGAGCCGGGGACGGTGGCACCAGGAAGGGCTAGGGGAGAAGAGGCGGCAGGAGAGACCAGGCCGGCTACTTCGGCTCCCTCGAAAGGTTACGGGAAAGAAGGGAGCCGAGGCCCTGCTGTCAGCTCCCTGGAGAGGGAGGAGAGGGGCTTGGGGACAGGTTGGGGAGAGTGAGCCCGGGAGGAGCTGCCACTGCCCATTGCTCCCCTGGTTACAGGTCACTTCCCTGAGGGGCTGGGGACTGGGTACCCCTCGCCCACAGGCAGCCCAGCATGCATGCAGCTGACACGCCATGGATGCTGAGCCAGACCAGATGTGAGAGTAGGCAGGGGACACCGACCAGCCTCCTTCTCTACCCCCTCCCCTTGTGTGACCCCAGGCTGCTGCTCCTGCTGCCCCCCCGAGTGCGAGAAATGCGCCAAGGAATGCGAGTGCAAGGACGCAGCGGGGGCGAAGGCCGAGGCTCAGAAGTGCAGCTGCTGCGACTGAGACGAGGACCTGCCCCTCCAGGAAACACGTGTAATTAGTGCTGGGGGCCCAGTGCCACCTCTCCCCCGGGGGGGTGGGGCGGGGGGGGCGACTGTGTATCCCCCCCACCCCCCGCTAGCTGCTGGCAAGTGACAATAAAGCCTATGAATGGCATAAGCCAAGGACTGGTCTCTTCTTAAAGGGGAAGGATATGTATGGGGGGCCGTGGGGGGGTGCCTCATCTGAGATGCCCAGTTGAAAAGTGTAACCCTGGGACTTGGCTGCTGTTCTGTTTGGGGCTCAGATGGAGTCGGAGTGCACCCCCTCCCGCAGACGGCCCTGGTCCTCCCGCTAAGCCAAGGTCAGCTCTGGGGAAAGGGGAGAGCAGACCCCTGGAAGTCTGTCTCCACCTCTCTTCATCCGTCCCATGGGGCTGGGGGGAGTGAAAACCAGCCCCCAGCTCCCAACGCCTGACCTTTCTGGAATTTTCTAGTGGCTCCTACAGAGCTGCCTGTTCTCAGAGTCTTTGCGGGGAGTCCGGGAGGCTCCGGCCCATCTTGGCAAACTCAGCTGCGTTTCCAAGATCACACACAGCCCTGAATAGCCCGTCTCCCTGCAACAGAGCCGGGCTCCTTTTCAGAGCTTCTCGGGGGCACTTTGTCTCCGCCCCCCCTTCTTCTCGGGGAAGGAGGCCAATCAGAGCTTTTGTCCCCGGGCCTGTGGTCCAGGCCATGGTGAGTGACAGCACCCCGCGGGCCTGGGCCGGCGGCGGAGGGAGATACAGGGCTGGGAGAGACTTACACATTTGAGATCACCTTGAACTCCTTCCCCTTAAATACAGAACCTTATTGGACCCTTCCATTCTAAAAGAATGATATGACTGCTACAACTGTTTTATACATCGGGCACTAAGGCTTAGGGTAATTTGCATGAGGTCTGTTAAAAAATAAACAGGCAAATATCTATGAAGCGCATCCTGTGCCGGGGCTGGAGACACGCTGCAGGCCATGAGTGCTCCTGGGGCTGTCCGTGGCAGCCTGGGCTGGGGAAGGAGACCGACATGTATTATAGGGGAAGTTCCAGGAAGAAAGAGCACAGGATGTTTTCCAGCACGTACCACGGGCACCCTGACGGAGCACGGGGCTCAGGATGGCTCCGGAGGACGTGACCTTGGAGCTGAGCTGTGAACACATCTCCACAGGACCTGACAGTCCACGCTGCCAGGACAGCCTGTTCCCTGCCGCCTCCTCCCTGCACAGCGGCCGCCAGCAGCCCCCGGGCCTGCCAGGGACCTTCTAGTAACCCGGTTCCTAACTCTGACGACACGTTCTTGGCATCCGAGGTGGATGATCCGGAGAGGAATCCGGGCCGCCTGACCTCTCTTCCTCACAGCATCCCCTGGGGAAGAAAGTTCTTGCAGGGTTTTTCCCTTCCACATGTTCCGGGATGTGTCAACGTTCCGGCCAGCGGCCTCCTCAGCTCCTCCCTCCCCAGCCTGGCAGGGCCTCACCCGCCTCGTGTCCCCCTGACCCGCTTCCTCCCGGGCTGCACTGGGTCTCCTCCTCTTGGCTCCCCTCCCCCAGAGGGTGCCTCCCATCCTAGCCACGACCCTGCTGTCACCTTTCCCGGACCCCTGGTGACACTGCCCCCGTGCCCAGGAGTTTCCGAGGCTCAGGGCTCGTGGTTTCATGGCTTCTGTTCTCCCCTGTGGCCGGGCGATGCCTACCCTTAGGAAACCTTCAGCATGGCAGGGCTCTCTAACGGAATCACCAGGTTCTGCACTCCCCAGCTCTGTGACCCTGGGCAAGTTATGTAACCCCCATTTCCTCCTCTTTATTTATTTTTTAAAATATATTTTTATTGATTTCTGGGAGGAAGGGAGAGGGAAAGAGAGAGAGAGAGAGAGAGAGAGAGAGAGAGAGAGAGAGAGAGAGAGAGAAACACCAATCATGGCCCTAGCTGGTTTGGCTCAGTGGGTAGAGCATCAGCCTACAGACTGAAGGGTCTCAGATTCGATTCTGGTCAAGGGCACCTGCCTGGGTTGCAGGCTCGATCCCCAATAGGGGTGTGTGCAAGAGGCACACATTGATGCTTCCATCTCTCCTTCACCCTTCCTCTCTAAAATCAATAAAAAATATACATTAAAAAAAGAAAGAAAGAAAAAAGTCGAAACCGGTTTGGCTGGGTGGATAGAGCATCAGCCTGCGGACTGAGGGGTCCCAGGTCCGATTCCGGTCAGGGGCATGTGCCTTGGTTTCGGGCACATCCCCGGTGGGGGTGTGCAAGAGGTGGCTGATCAATGTTTCTCTCTCATCGATGTTTCTAACTTTCTATCCCTCTCCCTTCCTCTCTGTGAGAAATAGATAAAAAATATTTTTTAAAAAGAAAATAAATATCAGTGATGAGAATCATTGATCGGCTGCCTCCTGAACACTCCCCACACTGGGGGTGGAGCCTGCAACCCAGGCATGTGCCCTGAAGGGAAACCTAACCATGACCTTCTGGTTTATAGGGCAATGCTCAATCACTGAGCCACACCAGCCGGTGTGATTTCCTCCCCTTTAAAAATAGGAATGACAGAGAGTCCCTGCCTCCCAGTGTTGGTGAAATGAGAGCCCCCACAGAACGGAAATACTATACTTGCCAAAGCGCTGGATATACAATGGGCAAGCTGTGTCAATAACCGTCCCACGGGTTTAATATGATGCCACCCAGCTAGGAAGCCGGGCACGTACTAAGAATTGTGAGTCATCTGTTCTGGCTTCCAACGGATCATTTGTCCCAGCAGAACCCCCAAAGTGGGCTTTCAGGCTCTCTCACCAAGTCCAAGTTCAAGTAGGGGAGTAGGGGCACCTGGGTTTGGGAAGGGAGTGGAGCCGGAGGTCAGAGCTGGAGGTCGGAGATCAGAGCCGGGTGCTGGGAGGTCACAGCGGGAGGTCAGAGCTGGGTGCTGGGAGGTCTGAGCAGGGTGCTGGGAGGTCTGAGCAGGGTGCTGGGAGGTCAGAGCTGGGTGCTGGGGAGTCAGAACTGGGTGCTGGGAGGTCACAGCGGGAGGTCAGAGCTGGGTGCTGGGAAGTCAGAACTGGGTGCTGGGAGGTCACAGCGGGAGGTCAGAGCTGGGTGCTGGGAGGTCAGAGCCGGGTGCTGGGAAGTCAGAACTGGGTGCTGTGAGGTCAGAGCCGGGTGCTGGGAGGTCACAGCGGGAGGTAGGAACTGGGTGCTAGGAGGTCAGAGCCGGGTGCTGGGAGGTCACAGCAGGAGGTCAGAGCTGGGTGCTGGGAGGTCTGAGCAGAGTGCTGGGAGGTCGGAGCCGGGTGCTGGTTGCACGTCCAGATCGCCTACTCACAGCTCTGCGCCCGGCCCCTCCCGCGCGAGGCCGCCCGGCACGCACCGGGGGAGGCTCAGGGCAGCGGCCCCGGGACCGTGTGCACAGCCCGGTGCGCCCGGCCCGCCCGGTGCGCCCGCCGCCGCCGCTGACTCACGGGGGCGGGTGCAGGCGGCGCCCGCCCCCACCCCCTCGGGCTTTGCACGCGCCCCGGCCGTTCCCGCTATAAAGGCGCCTTCGCGCCCGGCTCCAAAGCACCTCCTGCAACTTCCAGCCCCAGTGTCACCTCTGTCCTCGGAACCCGCAGCCGCTCAGCTCGCCATGGACCCCAACTGCTCCTGCGCCACCGGTAAGCGGGCCGGGGCCGGGCTGGGGGTGCCGGGGTGTGGGGCTCTTCTGGGTCCCGGGGTGCTAACAGGGCGCGCGTTTCTCCTCGGTCCCCGTCTCACTGACTGTTGGTTTCGTGGTGGAGCTGGGACGCTAACGCGGCTCGGGCACCCCTTCACCGGTTGCGTATCCGGGGACCATTCACATCTATTTTTCTTCTTGCAGGTGGCTCCTGCACCTGCGCCGGCTCCTGCAAATGCAAAGAGTGCAAATGCACGTCCTGCAAGAAGAGTGAGTACAGCCTTCTCTTCTGCTCCCTGCGTGCCCTCCCGCCCCCGCCCTGCATGCCCTGCGCCCCCAGGGGCATTGAAACAGGGCAGTGGGCGCCCCCGGGGAAGAGGGCACCTCCTCCCCCGCGGCCCCTGTTGCAAGGACGGGATTTCTTACTGGTCTTTTCCCCCAAGCGCTCACCTCTGCCGCCCCCTTTCCTCCCGCAGGCTGCTGCGCCTGCTGCCCCGCCGGCTGTGCCAAGTGCGCACAGGGCTGCGTCTGCAAAGGCGCCGCCGACAAGTGCAGCTGCTGCGCGTGAGGATGCGTGATGCCCAGAGAGAGCCCGCTCCCGGTTGTAAATAGAGCCACGTGTACAAACCTGTTTGTTTGTTTGTTTTTGTACAACCCTGATCCGTTTGCTACATTCCCGTTTTTATTTCTAAAAAAAACACATGAAAGATAATAAAAGTTTGTTGGCTTTATTCTGAGTCTGTTTTCCTTGGAGTATGTACCCACCAGGGCTGGGGTGGGAGGGGGGGAGGAGGACTGGATGGGAAGGGAGAGGACATGGGCCTGGGACGGAAGTGTTGTTGTTCCCTAACAGCCTTCAGACAAGCCACGTGGCCTCACTGAGAGGCTCTACGGGGCACTGGGTGGATATGGGGTCACAGCGACGCTGATGGCATAGAAATTTCTCAACCCAGAATGCTCCTTCTCTGTGGCTTCCCGGACCCACTTCAGTACCTCACTGCATGGAAGGCTTGAAGAATATAGGGTATACCTTACTTGCTTGATTCTGACGAGGGCTTTACAATCCTTGTAGAGAAGCCTTAGCCCCGTGGTCGGCAAACTGCGGCTCTTGAGCCACCTGTGGCTCTTTGGCCCCTTGAGTGTGGCTCTTCCACAAAATACCACGACCTGGGCGAGTCTACTTTGAAGAAGTGGCGTTAGAAGAAGTTTAAGTTTAAAAATTTTTGGCTCTCCAAAGAAATTTCAATTGTTGTACTGTTGATATTTGGCTCTGTGGACTAGTGAGTTTGCTGACCACTGCCCTAACCCGTTTGGCTCAGGGGATAGAGTGTCGGCCTGCACGTGCCTGGGTTGTGGGCTCGATCCCCAGTAGGGGGTGTGCAGGAGGCAACTGATCAATGATTCTCTCATCATTGATGTTTCTATCTCTCTATCCCTTTCCCTTCCTCTCTGAAATCAATAAAGAAATATATTTTTAAAAATAAAATAAGCCGAAACCGGTTTGGCTCAATGGATAGAGCGTCGGCTTGGGGACTGAAGGGACCCGGGTTCGATTCCGGTCAAGGGCATGTACCTTGGTTGCGGGCACATCCCCAGTAGGGGGTGTGCAAGAGGCAGCTGATCGATGACTCTCTCTCATCGATGTTTCTCTCTATCTCTCTCCCTTCCTCTCTGTATAAAATCAATAAAAATATATTTAAAAAAAAAAAAATAAAATAAAATAAAATAAAATCCTTGTAGTGAAGAAGCGGTTCACTACATTTTGGAAAATAATAATTCCTATGAAATGGTGTGAAAGATCAACACAAGCCACATTTTTAGATTTGAGACACATTTTCCATATTGAGAGAGCAGATAGGCGAGATTTTAAATCGCTGCCCCTGGCTCATCGGAAGGGCCCCTGGAGCCCCGAAGACAATTCATCAACACCCCCAGAGTGTGGGACACACACACTGCGAGTCCCCCTGTCCCAGTCTGAACTTGGCTCTGCATCTTTGCAAGTTCCTCAGTGGGGCAGACTCAAACCTGGCCCCCCTCCAAAATCCAGCTCCAGGCTGTTTGAAACCAACGAAGTGCCTGGGGATCTGGAGCGAATGGCCCAGGCTTCTCTTCTCAGTGAGAATGGTTCCCCATGAGGCACGCACGCATGCAGGCACTGCCCCCCAACAGTCACTCCCCACCCCCACTCCCGCCCCCACCCCCATTAGCCTGTGCAGGGTGATGTCAGGCTCCGTAAGTTCAGAGCAGTGGCTTGTAATTAGGGACAACGGTTAGTGCCCCCTGGCTATTTGTAGAAGGAGTTGCTATTTGATGTGAAATCAAAGAGAAAGACAAGTCACATGGACCCGGGAGTCAGGACCATGCTTGCCTTGTGCAAGGCTCTGTGTGAAAAGGGATCATCAGAGCCAGCCTGTGCCAAGTGCATGGGGTTTGATGTCGTGAAGCCTGGTTCCCAGCCTGCTTTGCCACAAATAGCATGTCCTGTGCGCCTCGCTGAAACTCTCTCAGCCTCCGCGTCCCCATTTGTAAAAAGGAGATTTTATTTCTAAGGGAGGAATAAGCAATAGTGTCCCGGCTCCAGGGTGGCTGTTATGATCTCTAGGGAGCAGCTAGAAGGGTAAAGCCTCAGACTGACCTGTGGCAGAGCCCTCCTGGCACAATTAAGCTTGACCTTACAGTCCTCCCTTGTTCCTAAGTAGCTAATGGGCTGTGGGAGGTGCAGCAAATGCTGCCAAAACAAAGCATGAGTAACCAAATAGATTTGAAACTGGCAAGAACATTGTAAATATGCTGATCACTCCTCCTCCCCCCTCCCGCATTTTGCTTGGTGTGATCTGACTATAAAAGCTTTGGCTTACAGGCTGGGTCACTGTTTCCTCCTCCAGGCACAGTGGTCCCACCTGGACCCCAACTGTATTCTCTTGTCCCCTCTTGTTTAACCCTTCACCGCCCCTCCTCAGATTCACCCCTGGCCGTGGTTCAATGATCACTATGCCCATTCGTGTAGAGTATCCTTTTCCATCCCACCATGCACCTGGAGAAAGGCTCGTTCAGCGGCGGAGGCTCAGTTGGTTAAATGTCCTCCCAGGCACTAACGAGGCTGCCGGCTCAGTTCCCAGTCAGGGCACATGCCCAGCTTTTAGGCCGGATCTCCATGGGGGTGTGTGCAGGAGGCAGCCAATGGATGTCTCTCATTGATGCTTCTATTTCTCTCCTTTCCTTCTTCTATAAAATCAATCAAAACATATTTTTTTTTTAATTTAAAAAGAAGCCTCACTCTGGGCTGGACATGAAAGGTGGGGTTAAAAATGTGCTGACCCGGCGCCAGGAAGAGAGAGGTCACCTCCTGTAATAAGCGCCCTGGGATAGGACACTGCCACCGCGTTTGGGTGGACCCCAAGCCTCTCCTGCCCTGTCATTTCCCCCTCCCGGGGCCAGGGAGACTGCAGATGGAAGGGCTGAAGCGATTATGTCATTTTCCAGGGAAGCTAAACAACCTTTCCTCCCCTAGCCTGTCGCTGGTCTTGAGGCTGGGACGCCCTGCCTCTCCTTCCTAGACAGAACACCTAGGCCTCGGCTGTGTTTCAGCTCCAGGCCCAGAGAAGCAGCAGAACCTGACCAGCCACCCCGTGGCTGGCCTGGGCATCAGGGGCATTGAAAAAGGAGCCCTGCCCTGGCCTCCACCCATGAATCAATCCGCGGGGACCCGGACCCTGAGCGGACACAGCTGGGAAGCTGCTGAACGTCCTGTGAAGATCCTCTGAACCCTTCCTTAGCCAGAACTCAGGTACCCGTGTTGCTGAACCCAGGTCCCCTGTGGCCCCACCAGTCTCATCCCTGGTGCTCTTCCCGCTGCCTGGCACCAGTCTGATAGATTAATTAAAGAAGTAACCAAGGCTGGGATGCCAGGAGACAGGCTTTTATTGGAGAGAGGGGCACCTCCGCCAGCTGCTTCCAGAGAGAAAGAGGCCGGAAGAAACCCGGGGTCTACTTTTAAGGGGAGGATAGGGGACAGGGTTTAGGATACTCAGCTCATGCTGATTGGTGGTTAGGGACCTAGGGGCTTAGGAATAGGGGGCTTAGGGTATTTGGCACGTGCTGATTGGTGGTCCAGTGCTCAGGTCTGTCTGGCCGCAGGTGGGGTTTGCGTCTGTCCATCAACTGAAGGAAGGGGGGATCTATCACCTACAACCATATGCCAAGCCAAGTCTTCCCATCACCTAAAAGGATGCTTCCTCTGAGGTAGGTAGGTTGCGGGGACCTCTGTACCCGCAGGCTGTGGGCAACACTAGCATTTTCTGCAAAGGACCTGACAGACGTGTCCATGGATCCCCCCAGGGGAGTCTGGGAGGGTGGAAGAAGGCAGGGGCCTGTGCTAGCCAAGTGCTATGTACCCCAGAAAGGGGGCTGTAGGCCCAATGTGGGGGATGGGGGAGGAGCAAGGAGAAGAAATGCAGGTGGAAGGCCAAGGTCCAATTGCACACGGTTCCTCTGCACACAACTCCCTCCCTTTCTCCTCTGTTCCTGCCAAGTCATGGGCAGGAAGGGGAGGGGGGGGGGCTGCACACCGGCTCTCTGCCTGAGGTCAGCGGCAAGGGGTCCAGGGCCCAGAAGAGGGTGAGGTCCCAGGGGCTGGGTTCCAGTAAGAAGGCCGTGGAGATCAGGGGTGGCTGCCCCGGGTGGAAAATTGAGAAGGGTCAGGCCTGGAGGCTGGATACCGTGTGCCACACGGCACACAAGCCGCGCGGCAGGAATCAGGGGTCAAAGGTGGGACCCGCGCGGTGCGCACAGAGCTCAGCGGGGCGGGTGGAACGGTGCACCCCGCCCAGCCAGGTGCGCTCAGCCCAGACAGACAAACACGGGGAGCCGCACGGCCCCGCGGGGCGGGCGCAAAGGGACAGGATGCAAGAGCCCGGGTGCAAGAGCCGGGGCGTGGCCTCTGCGCCTGGGCCGCCTCTCCTGGGTGCAAAGGGAGCGCGCGGGCTCCTGGGCGCCACCACGCGGTGCACCGGCGCAAGTGCATCTTCTCCTCTTGCTCTGGACCCACTGCCTCATCTCTGCTGGGAATGGACCCCAACTGTTCCTGCCCAACTGGTAAGGACCCCCGGCTCTGGACCTCAAGAGGCCCCTTCCTCGCCCTGAGGCGAGAGGAGGTAGTATTTGGAGCTTGAGAGGAAGCAGAGAGAGAGAGAGAGAGAGAGAGAGAGAGAGAGAGAGAGAGAGAGAGAGAGAGAGAGACAGCACCTTCTGTGCTTTCTCCCTAGCCAAGCTCCGGGCCATCAGGGGGTCGGGGGCTGCTGGCCCAGGACTTAAGTTGTCCCTGCCGGTTGGAGGCAGGGATCAGTGTGTCTTCCGGGCTGAGGACAGAGGTCCTGGCCCCCAGACTCAGCCTAACTGAACTAACTGGGCCTGGAGCCTGGGACCATCCCTGGGGGGTAAACAAAGGAAGTGCACCGCCCTCTCTAGCAGAAGGCCAGAGAAGGGGTCAGCCCTGTCTGTTCCATGTGGGACAGGGGTTCCGGGGGCTGGCCCCTGCCCAGGGGAGGGGGTGTGGGTGCAGAGCTGAGGGACAGCTGTCTCTCCTGCATCACGCATCTCACTGCCTGTCTTTCTCCTCCGTGCAGGTGGCTCCTGTGAATGCAACGACTGCAAATGCACCTCCTGCAAGAAGAGGGAGGGAGGGCCCTTCCCTGGGAATCTGGGGGCTGGGGAGTGTGAGGAGGGAGCCCTGAGCTGGTTGGGAGCAGATAGATCAGGAGAATTGGTCTTCCTTTGCCCCTGGGAAGCTGTCACTGCCTGTGCAGGCTCTCTGCCCGGCCTTGTCCCGGGCTCAGAAGAGGCAGGCCAGCTTTCTCCTGGTGAAACCCAAACCCTGATGGTGGCTAACTGTTTCTCCATAGAGCATGCTCTTTTGTTCTCATGGACGTTTGAAGCCCAGGGCTGTGCTAGGCCTGCTGTGGGGCAGGGAGGGGGGCCTGGTGGTCACCTCTGACCCCTCCTTTTCCCTCTGTCTGCCCCGAGGGCTGCGCCCATTTTGTCCAGGGCTGCATCTTCGAGGGAGCGTTGGACAAGTGCAGAGCTGCTGTGCCTGAAGGAAGGGGGGGGAGGGGGAGGAAGAGCCTGCTCCCTGATGTAATCAGAGCAGCATGCTCAAACCCGCTTTTTTTTTTTTTTTTTTTTCAGTGACCCTGACCCGTTTGCCACATTCCCTCACTATTCCTTGTGAAATACGTGAGAGATAAGAAAGGTGGTTGAGTTCCTCTGACTCTGGCTTCTTTCCTGTGCGACAGAGGAAGGAATGAGGTGCCCGCAGGGCTGGGCTGGATCTGCAGAGAGGTGAGTGCTGGATGGAACAGTGAGTCTCCCCCAAGAAATGAGCGCCTTCAGGCAGGAAGGTGATGTCACTGAGGGGCATCTGCTGTCAGGGCAAGAGCCTCGGGACACACGCTGTGAGGGCCGCTTGCTTCTGAAGCACTGGAAGGGGGACCACTTTGTAGTTTCTCACATTCACAGATATCACCTATAGTCAAATAAAGTGAATTATTAAGAAAAAGTTTGCCCTGGCTGGTTTGGCTCAGTAGATAGAGTGTCAGCCTATGGACTGAAGGGTCCCAGGTTTGATTCTGATCAAGGGCACATGCCTGGATGATGGGCTTGACCTCTAGTGTGGAGTAAGCAGGAGGCAGCCAATCAATGACTCTCATCACTGACTGATGTTTCAATCTCTCTTTCCCTCTTCCTTCCACTCTGAAATCAATAAAAGGAAAGTATAAAAAAACCATTTTGTTCTATATAATAAAATGGATGTTATGTGTCCAGTCATCCATTCAACCAATCAAAGCGTAATATGCTAATGATGTGCTAAGGCCACTCAACTGCTTGCTATGACGTGCACTGACCACCAGCTGCACGTTCTGACCAGTAGGTTAGCTTGCTGCTGGGGTCCAGCTGATCAGGACTAAGGGAGACAGGCCAGACACGCTCTGGAGCCCTCCCGCAGTCCCTCCCCAGCCGGCCAACCTCCCACATCCCACCCTAGCCCCCTTTGTGCACTGTGCGGTCCCTCCGCCTGGCCTGTGTCGCAATCCAGGCTGAGGAACCCCCTTTGAGTGCATGAATTTTGTGCACCAGGCCTCTAGTAAATATATGACGCACCAATAATAAAATCAGATATTTACCAACGCTGTGCGCATTTCCACCAACAGTGTGCACTGAGCACTTGAAAACAAGTTGTGAATGGCCCAGGGCGCGGAGCACACAGCCTGGGAGCCATGCACCCCCTCCCCGATACCCCCACAAAGAACCACAGTTCTTACCCTGTGTTTCTGACAGGGCACCTGCCACCCCTAAGAGCTCCCAGTTGTGGTTTGGCTTTGAATCTCAGGAAGTCCCTCCCGAGTCAGGCAGATATCTGCACCCTCCTCCTCCCCAACCCCAGCCCTTGGCTACAAGAAGCCGGCAGAGTGATGAGGGATGTGGAAAGAACGGCAGGGAGGTGCCCAGGAAAGCCTGCTCAGCAAGGGGCAGGGTGGGTGCCCGAGCATTTGCAGGTGGAGGGCTTTGTGTCTATCCAGGTGGGGTGCTGGCGGGCTGCTCACTAGACAGGCATGAGGCCCTGAGGGACTCATAAATAACGATAGCGGCGGGCCGCTGGCTGTTTGTGGAGGGAGCTGCTATTTGATGTAAAAATCAAAGGGAAAGTCAAGTCCAAGTCCAGCGGATCGGAGTCAGGACCGTGCTTGCCTGAGGGTGCCCTGGGCGCCGGGGATCTCAGCAGCCAGCCTGTGGAGGCATGCCGGTTCCCAGCCCCTGCGCCCCTCCCTGGCCGGGTGACGGGGAGAGTCCTGCAGAAAGGAAATTATGTCTCCATCTGAGGAACTAGGGATCGTGTCCGGCTCCAGGCCAGGCCAGGGCAGAGCAAATAGAGGCCGTGATGACCGCTGGGCCCACACTGACATTCCCACGGAGAGAATCCTTCTGACTCCCAGCATGCTCCTGGAGAAAGGCTCCTCGGTTTTGAAGCCTTTGCCCGGGGTCGGAAGCTAGAGATGGAGTTAGAACCTGGCTGACCCCGTGCCATGGGGAGGGTGGATGGCCGGCCAGGGGACCCCTGGACATGATGTCTCCGGGTGTTCGATCCCACCTCTCGTTACTCAGAGCTGCGAGAGGCCTCTGAGAGGGTCCTATCAGGCTCCTGGCTTGAGAGAAGGTGACAGGAGCCCAAGAGGTCACAGGGCCACACGCAGGGACCTGACTGCCACTCGGCTCCTCCCGCTGCATCCGGGCCAGGATGCCACGTGCTGGGCGGTGGGGGGAGGGCACAGTGCTGCGGGCAGCTGGGCGTGAGTGCCAGTCCTGGCTGCGTCCCTGGTCGCTGGGTGTCATTACCTGTCTGAGGCTCCGTCTCCTCCCCTGTGAAAAGGGAAAATAATAGTGTCTGGCTCTTCGGGCGGAATGATCTCATACATGCAGTGAATTTGGAAGGAAGCCGGGCACTCTGTGAGTGACCTATAGCATAGGACCTACCACCTAGAGCCTGCTCCCTGATGTAACCAGAGCAACATGCTCAAACCCGATTTTTTTTTTCCTCAGTCCACCCTGACCCCTTTGCACATTCCCTCACTATTCTGTGTGAAATATGTGAGAGATAAGAAAGTGGTTGAGACTGCTCTGACTCTGCTTTCTTTCCTGTGCGACAAGAGGAAGGAATGTGGTGCCCGCAGGGCTGGGCTGGGGACTGGGCTGGATCTGCAGAGAGGTGAGTGCTGGATGGAACAGTGAGTCTCCCCCAAAACTGAGTGCCTTCAGGCAGGAAGGTGATGTCACTGAGGGGCACCTGCTGTCAGGGCAAGAGCCTCGGGGCACATGCTGTGAGGGCCGCTTGCTTCTGAAGCACTGGATGGGGGACCACTTTGTAGTTTCTCACATTCACAAATATCACCTATAGTCAAATAAAGTGAACTATTAAGAAAAAGTTTGCCCTGGCCGGTTTGGCTCAGTAGATAAGAGTATTGGCCTGTGGATTGAAGGGTCCTGGGTTTGATTCTGATCAAGGGCACATGCCCGCGTGGTGGGCTCCATCCCCAGTGGGAGCATGCAGGAGGCAGCCAATCAATGACTCTCATCACTGACTGACGTTTCAATCTCTCTCTCCCTCTCTGAAATCAATAAAAACATATACTTAAAAAAGGAAACGTTTGAAAGGACAGTGTACAAAACCCATTTCGTCATTCAACACTTGTAACTGCAATACACATATGAAGAATCGATTTTTAGCATCATCGTAGCATAGGAGACGGGTTGCTACCTGCAGACAAGCACACGAGTCCACGGTGCCCTGCCCTGTCCCTATCAATCACGTGACCACGAAACCAGTGGCCCGAGGAGGGTGGGCTTTCTCCCAACAAGAAGGATGGGCACTCGCTGTGGACAACAGGAGCAAGACAGACTGTGTCCCTCACAGGCACCGAAGTGGTCACCATTTCCGCTGTCCCCTGCGCTATTTGTGTACTTAATTTTTATTTTATTTTATTTTTAAATACACTTTATTGATTTTTTTTACAGAGAGGAAGAGAGAGCTAGAAACATCGATGAGAGAGAAACATTGATCAGCTGCCTCCTGCACACCCTCTACTGGGGATGTGCCCGCAACCAGGGTACACGCCCTTGACCGGAATCGAACCAGGGACCTTTCAGTCCGCAGGCCGATGCTCTATCCACTGAGCCAACCCGGTTTCGGCTGTGTACTTAATTTTTAAACCGTTCCTCTTTCCTTGACTATATTTCTATAAATTCCTCACCACGACCGAAAATGAGAACCAGTTTACTTCTAGACATAGAAGGGAGCCACAGAGGCACACAAGCGTGTGTTCCTTTTGTAGGTAACACATAGTCGCCCCCAGGATTCGGCTGGACACGGGGAGGCAGTGAAGGACCTACCTCTGGGTCAGAGGGAAGAAGGTTCTTTCTCTTTCCTTTGGCACATGATGGGGATCAGATCAGGGCAGCACTTCCCAGCACCCGGCCTGCCGGGCTGTTTACAAATTCCCTGTGCCACGTGGAATCCCGGGATTTCCCTCAGCGTTGGTAGGGTTTACGGAGGGAAAGTGATTAAGCAAGACTGGCACGGACTAAGCCTTATGTAACTGTCAGAAACACCTTAAGGGAAATCACAGTATTTCTTGCCTGTTATTTATGCCAGGTCAGCCCCGTGGCTTCCTTCCTTGGGGGGGCTGGAGGGAGGGGAGAAGGGGGAGATTGTACCCCATGCTTTGGGACCCTCCCTCTCTGAGTGGGGTGGACCCGCTAGGCTGAGCAAACCCTGGGAAGTTTAGGCCAGTGGTCGGCAAACTCATTCGTCCACAGAGCCAAATGTCAACAGCACCACGATTGAAATTTCTTTGGAGAGCCACATTTCTTTAGACTTAAACTGTATAGGCAGGTACCTTGTTATGAACTTAATTAGGGTACTGCTAAGCTGGCCTTTGCCCAAAAACTCAAGGGGCCAAAGAGCCGCAGTTTGCCGACCACTGGCTCAGGCAAAGGAGGACCAAGTCAATATGCCCATTCGCGGCTTTAGTCGGGAGAATGCAAGAAAGGGGGAAGGGGTCGCTCTAAGCTCCGGCCCCCCCGCGTTGCTGTAAACAGGGAACAAGGACGGAGGGACATCAATGCGGGGGTGGGAGCGGGAGGAGGAGCAGGGGCAGGGAGCGAGGGGGTGAAGGTCACGTCCACCACGTCCCTGCACACAGCTCCGGGCCTCCAGCCAGGCCGGGGACGTGAGTGAGCACAGGCCGGGTTTGCACACGGGCTCAGCACAGGGTGAAGGGGAAGACGGAGAGGAGCGGGCCAGCGGGTGGGGAAGATTTCTAGGACTCCGGGGCGGAGTTCCTGGAACTCGGGGAACGGGGGTGGCTGCGCCCCTGGGGGTGATCAGGCTGGGACACGGTGTACCCGCAGCTCCTCCACCTAATCTGAGGCCGAGGCCCCGGGGAGCCGTGCACACGGCCCGCCCGCGCGGTGCGCTCAGCCCGGCCCAGGGCGCTGCGGGCGGCACGGAGCCGCGGGCGGGCGGGTGCAGGGCCGGGGCGGG